AATCAAAGTGGAGTATTCTTCACAAATTGTACTAAATGGAATGAAATTAAATACACATTGTTCAAGCAGATATACAAGCTAAAAAATAAAAAGAGATAGGTCTTACCAAGGTTCTTACAAGAAATTTCATTTCCTTTTCTCTGCAAGAACGCATGAGATTCATAATGAGGCTTTTCTTACGTGCAGTACTTCCACTACCTGTTTGTACACTGATAACTACTACATGAGAAAAAATAAATTCTTTTTTCATTAATAAACACACTCATGAAAGGAGGAAAAGAAAAGTATAAAGTTAAAAGGGGAAGTATGACAATATGTCTAACCGATAAGAATGCATTTAGGGTAGTTAGGAATATGAATAGGATAGTAAGTCAAACGATTGATTATAAATAGAGGGAGTGGGATGAGTGTGAAAGTAGGCCAGTATGGTCTAGACTTGAGTGAAAATACTAAAAAAAGATGGGTCCAAGTATTTTGAATAACTTGGGAGTCATTGACCTGTTTTATCTTCTAGTTCTTTTGGTTTCTATCAATAGCCTTCCGAAGCTAAAAAATATTTAAAAATAAATAAATAAGACCTCCAATTGGCTTATATTGAAAAAGGAAAATTATTACTGGCTCGTTTGATAACGATTTTTGTTTTTGGTTTTTCTGTTTTTATTTCAGTTTTCAATTTTTAGAAAACAAAAACCATACATTTTTTATGGGCTTGTAAGTCCTTTCCTTTGGGTTATTCGTTGGAGCAGCTCTGCGATTCTGATCATGAAGATGGCTTTTTTAAAGTGTTATTTGGTATGGATGGTGGAGTGTTATATGCATTTATTTTGGATTTTTTTCTGGTTCTTGCATCTTTACGTGTAACACCAATGAAACGTGTTATTTCCTTATCAGAAGCAAGATACAATTTTTAAGGTTTGAATTTTATATTTATTTGGTTCTGAGTTTTCAAATGGAATACTATAGTTCCATTAGAAATTGCACTTAATGGTCCCTCGATTAAGTTCACCGTTAGTTGACTAATGGAAAAATTACATGACATCAACAATTTTTAAATGAATGGTCGTTTTTTATTAACTTTAGATTATTTTAATCTTGTGGCATTTACCTTTTAAGTATGTGGCTTTCTTTCCTTTTTCTTTTTTTTCACCTTTTCCTCTCTCTCTCTCTTCCTTTTTTCTTCTCCCTCCACTTCCTCTCTTCTTCTTATCCTTCTTGTTTGACAGTTCGCTGCAGCCGACCATTGCCTTTTCTTGCCAACCACCACCATTCGTCATCAGCCCCTATCTCTACTGTTTGCCCGTCGCCACCACCAACCAATTGCCGCCTTCTCTTATCACTTGTTGCCGCCAAACATCCCTCTCTCTCAATCCAGACAACACTTCACTTCTAGAACGGACATTGCTGCTTGCAGCCAAGTATCCTTCTCTCCCTCCAAATCTAAAAGTTTGGCAGGTGGAGGCGTTTTCTTCAACAGTGATGATGAGGACAAACTTGACCAATCCTACCCATAGGTCCTTTGTCATCACCTCCACCGCTGCCTTCAACTCCATGTATGCCCTTATCTCTGCTGCCAACATTTCATTCTAGATCTGAAGCATTTCAGATCTTGAGATGGAGGGGGGATGTTCGGTGGCAACAAGATGGGAGAAGGCGGTGAACGCCACTGTTTGCCAATGGCCAGCTGCTGTTGAAGAAGAAGAGAGAGGAAGGGGAAGGAGAAGGAAAAAGGAAGAGATAGAAAAGGGAACAGGCGGGAGGGAGAGAGAGAGAAGCCACATCATTAAAAGAAAAATGGCATCTAAAATTAACAAAAATGACGCTTCAATTTAAATTTCCACATAAAAATGTCATGTCATTTTCTCATTAGTCAACTAACAGTCAATTTAATGACTCGGCAACCATTTAGAACTATTCTTCAAACCTCAAGGACTAGATTGTCCCTTTTTAAATCTGACCAAATAGACATCAAACTCAAACTTCTTAAACCAAAAGTGTGTTTTGCCCAATTAATAAATAGCAATCATCCCAGCATCAACTATGATCAAAGTATATCATGATAAGAGTCAAGTTCAACTCTCATTACCTAATTTTTCGAAGAGTGGAAAATACATCCTTAATCAGGAGGGGTGATGGAGGTGCCAATAATCTTTGTGTTTGGCGACATGCAAGAGCAACATCTCCTTCAAACATAAAAGAAACTTTGGCTAGTTATTGCTATACCTTGACCTAGTACTCTCGCCGAGGATGATAAGAATATGTCCAAGACAGCATATAAAAATAGCAAGAATAAGATGTATGTACCTAGATCGCCTAATTCATTGTACATTTCCGTTATCTTGGATCGGCTAACCCCACATGCCTCTTCCAATGCTGCTGTGACCAGACTCCCACCAATATTTAGTTCCTGCAAGGTTTTTTCATAAGAGATGAATTTCATCAAATAAATAAACTTCAAAACCAATGAAACTACAACAATATTCTCCAGTTGGGAACTACGTAAGAAGGGGAATCATTATTTTAAAATAAAAAGACCAAAAAATGAACTTTCGGACCCACAGTGTAGAAGGAGACAACAAAAATAACAGTATCCTAACACCTGAACAGTTTTCAATATACAAATAATCTAGTACTTCTCTCAAGTCTCAAGCCACACTTCCCAACTGATAGTTCTGACAACATTCCTCCACAAAACAATACCCGTGCAAGTTCTTGAGAATCGTTCAGAAGAATCTAAAAATAACTGTAACAATGGAAGAGAAGGCCATTTGGACACCGTTCCTCCATAAAGAGGTGGCAATGGGGCCAATTGGGAAAGAAATGGTCGAATCCTCTAACGCACTTAAGCACAAAACACGTCACCCTGCAAGAGATGTCTATTGCTGCATTAGACTGCTTGATGTATAACATACCACAAAAAAGAGATCAAAGAAAGACTCTCACCTTCTTTATATAAGGATCCTTTCAAGCTCTGTGAGTCACATGTACCCTAGCCCAATCACCTAGGATGACCTAAATAATTTGGACCTTCCCATTTGCAAGAAGGAAAGAGATTCAAGAATGCACTAAATATGACTACACTTCCAACTCTAAATTCAAAAATCTCCCCCCTTGTCGCGAATTCCCCACTATATTCATCAACCCTTACTAAATGGAGAGGGGCAGTCATGGAAGTAATGCCTCAAAGAAAAACAGCACTAGGAAGGTCTGCGCACTACTTAATAAATGCTTCTTCAACATCAAATCAAAACATAAAGCTGACTGTGACATAATCCTATGGACTCGATTATCTAGCCCCTTATGCAAAACTCAACGCTATCCATGTCCTCCTCCCCTTCTTGAAAACATTGATTGCCCCTTTAACAACTTTGACATCAAATGTGTCTTCTAAAATGAGAATCTTGGAAGAGGAGGCGTTTATCAAAATTGCCAAAAGCATGCAAAACCAAGAGAAAGTTAGCAAATTTTTTTAGATTAATAAAATCCTTTAGCCCCTGCATAATCCCCAAGAGGGATAAGGTATACTCAATGTCTCTGAGCAATACTATCTTTACTAAACACTCAGAATTTAAAAGGTTCATAATTATTGTTTATGTTGATATTATCATTATTTTTTTGTTCCCTGTTTCTAAAATGCAAATTATTCTTTTCTCATTCCCAAAATTTGTGGGAGACAATGTAAAAGCTTCCATAAATGAAGAAAGAAAGAGGAGAGAGAGAGAGGGAGAGAGATAAAGCATGATGGGTTATCTCTCCATTATGTGCAAACAAAGGCATGGACTAATAAAGTAAATAAATCTAGAAACAGCATCAACCCAAAAAAATGTCCTAGAACATACATGTGAAACCTTAAGGCTCCCGTTGTTTCCAAGAGATGCCTATTATTCATTTTGGAATGGAGTATTAACAAAAGAAGATTTACAAAAAAAAAAAATTAAATTGGTCTAAGATGCAAGAATATGTTATTCACACTATCAGTTCTTAGAATTTGAAAAACAAACTTTAATTGCATTGTTCTCTTTCCCTCTCTTTATTAAACTACTAAAGACCTTCATCACCGGCTTAAAGTTTAAAAAATAATAATAATAAGTAACAAATAACGGATCGAGACTGCCTAAGTCTCAAACATTGAAAATTTAAATGATTTCAGACAACTAAATCCCTCACTCAGCTTCTCCTCTTCCCCCCCACCCCTCACAGTCACACCAAAAAATCACAAACACTCTCAAAAAAGTGCCAGTCTATATGATCATAGAGGAACGTTTAACTAATAAATTATCAACATCTTTCTAATCCTCATAACTCGTTTTCCTTTCTCTATCTTCTCGCTCACAATATCTCAAATAGCCAACCTTAAAAACTTTAAAATTATGAATCAACAAAAAAAAAAAGAAAAAAAGAGTCATGATGTAAACTTCTGGGTTGGTGGTAACAACTTCTGGGTTTAGCATCCCACCAGGGAAAAAAAATTGAATCATTGGAATATAATTTACAAAGAATAATAAGTCAAAAAATAAAAGTTTAAGTATGAAACCATGTTTTCATGGTCAGCAGCAATTTTATTAGTGCACAGATACACTGCAGGCAGCACATCCTCAGCAGACAAAACCAATAAACTGCATAATGAAAAATAAATAAATAAATAAATAAATAAAAATAATAGAGGTATCACATAAGATGGAGTAAAATGTTAGCCAATAATCAACACTGGAAAAGACAATTAAATAAAAGGACACAATCAAAATAATTCCGACCTTCTGAACATATTGCAGAGCATAGATGTAGCTTTTATCTTGCCTTTTTCCTCTTCAAGAAGATCAAAGGTTCGTACAAGATGTATATATGGGGCAGGCTGTCCACACCGCCAACATGCTAAGTTTATATCATGCAAGATTTTCAAGCACAATGTATCAAAAATCAAATATGTAAACATATCTAAGAAAAATGCAGCTGTTTAACAAAAATCATAAAATGAACTAATACAAACCATGCTCAACCGGGTCATACTTTTCGGGTGGTAAGGATACAAGAGGTTCATTTATCTTCTTCGTTGAACTTGACAGCTTAGAAAAATCAGTCTCGAGTCCAAAATTTTCTGCCATCTTTTCCTTTTGCGTAGATAAGCATTCATCCAAATTGCTTTCAATTTGGATTGGGTTCCCACTGAAGATGTGACCCTTTTCATTCTGACCAAGCCTCTCCTGAGGGTTAGCATAGTACAAATCTAGCGCCATATTAATGTCTCCATTTGTTTCCACTAATAATGATGTAACAAGTTGTTTTAATGACTCATCACCATTTATTATCTGAATAAACCTGTCTATCTTGTTTGTATCTTTGTTAATATCATATGACGTACTTTGATCTTGACAACTTTGCTCCACTGTAGATTCCATTTTATCACCTTCCGACAAATGTGAAGCTTTCCTGAAGAACTTTGTTATTGTAGATTGCTTTGACCCACCAGATTGCAAACTTAAAATCTTTTTTGACCCACTAGATTGCAAGCTTGATTTCTTTTTTGACCCACTAGATTGCAAACTTGAATTCTTTTTTGACCTATTTTGTGGCTTCTCCTGAATGTTTCTCTTCCTTTTTCCAGGAGAAGCATTACTCTTGGCCATGCACCTTGGACTGGATGCCTTTGAATCTTGGCTTGAAGAAATTTCAAACTTTCCCAAAACAATCTTCTTTTTTATATCTGTTGTATGAAACGTAAATGGGACATCAAGTACTTTGCTCTGGAACTTGGGAAGATTCTCCGTGAGAGTAGTAATATGTTCACAAAATTCAGTTTCTCGTTCATAGAAATTAGAAACTGCATCAACAAGATTTCTCCCTGAGCTGCTAATCAGGTCTAACATCTGATCCTGAGTGACCCATGCAGGTAAGCACTCGCGAAGTTCCTGAATAATTTTTCTTTTATCCTCATCATTTAGATCTGTAGAACCAACTTCTTTTAGAGAAGAGAACCCCATACCACTACTGCATGCTTCGGTTTTGACGCTCATCTTCATACATGATGAAATTTCCTTCTCTTCCAAGTCTCGGAACTCATTTACAGCCTTTGCATCATTATCATAAACATCATCACTCATTTCACTGGATCCACGATGAAAGCCTTTTAGAAATTCTTTTCTGTTGGCCATTTCATCAACTAAACCAGCAAAATGCTTCTTAATTTTATTAGTATGCTTGCTGTCAAGTTTATCGACATCCGAGCCTACGGTGGGAACAACCCTTCTCGGTCTTAAAAACTTCACATATTCCCTGAGTTCATTGTAGTTTGAATGTTCACTGTATGGCACGAGATGAATTTCAAGTGAATCCTTGGACCTTACTGAGAACTTGTTACGTTTGACCTCATAAGTCCACCCTGTCGGAACAAAACCAACAACTTTAGAATACCCCTTTTCCACCATTATATCATTCATTTTAACAAAATTAGGTCTAAAATAAGGCCAAGTATCACCCAAAATATTCCATCCAACAACGTGAACGTCACTTTCACTTTCAAGCTCTGTAAATACCCCACTCTCACCATGTCCCAAAACCCGTAAAACTGTCATTTTTCTAGCATCCACCATTATCTTACGATTACATCTACTTGCAATTTCAAGCAAAATTTTTTCTTTTCCTATTACGTAAGTTGCTACAAGGAAAAGAACATTCCCCATAGAACCCTTACTTGCACCTCCAATTTTTTGTATGATGTTCACTATATATTCAATAGACTCCTCCTGGGTAGGAAAAATAAACTTCGGGTTACAGTAAGTAGTGTCCAAGAAAATAGCATCTGAGCCAATAAATTCCTCCAAAATAGGGTCGACTCTCATAGAATCACAAAACCGAAAATCACCCGTATGAACATATCTCTCCAATTTTCCATCCCCACCCGGAATCTTAAACAAGAACTGCACCGCACCGGGACAATGATTCGCATCAATTAGTATTACCTCACAGCCATCAATTGCGACGGGCTCGCGGAGCGGCAATGGCCGGACAAACGGCGAAGGGACTTTGAGAACCTCGAGGAGAAGGCGGGCAGTGGTGTCAGAGCAGAAGATGATACCCTTGCACCAACTGATGGAGAGACCGCCATAGTGATCGGAGTGAAAATGAGAGAGGAAATAGGAAACAGAGTAATCGCCGGCGAGACCGAAAGCGTCGACGACGAAGCGGGATTTAGGGATCAGTTTGGATTGGGGAAAATCGGACGGAAAAGGAGGGGGCCGGAATGGGAGCGGCGGCGGAAGAAGAGGCAGATGTGAATGCCGTGAAAACAATTCAATGGCAGTGACGAAGGAGAGGGAAGAGTCGATAGTTTGGTGGATATGGGTGGGAGAATCGGAAGCCATTGACGAAAGGCATTGGGTGTGCGAGTGAAGGAATTGAAAGAGCCGTTGGAGTTCCAGAAGTGGGATTATAGAAGAAGACGAGTAGAACGAGCGATTTGTTTGTTAAAACATACGCGGGATACGGAAACTTCGACCAGAATGGAGCAATACATGTCACATGTCAATTATGGCCGGGAGCGAAGGTACGAACTCATAACATTTTGATCGGAGATAGGTGTCTTAACCACTTAAAGCTATACTCGATTTGGCTCTTTCTCCATAAAATTTAGAGACACATTTGGCTGACCTTGAAACCAAACCATAAATCTAACCTATAAATTTGGTGAACTTCATGTTATCGAAGGCATTGTCATACTCTGACATTAAACACGCGACAGTCCGACCTGTTGCAATCATTAGTTGTGAAATGGTAGACATAAACTTATTAAGGACAACTCTACTTAGATTATGATTATCACTCTAGATAGTTTTTTTTTACAATTGTGGTCTATCATAACCTTGCAATTAAATAGTGTTTTGTTCTTTTAATGAATATTTAGATATGGAATGCATGAATTTGAGATTACACCCTTAAAAGATCAATAATATTTTAAATAATCAAGTTATACTTAACGTGGCCATTAAATTTATTTGAGCATGTTGTGTATGTCCTCGATGATACACAAGTATATATAATTAGACTTAAATGAGAACAAAAATTACTTATAATATTTTACTTAATTAATAGTTACTTTTAAAATTTACTGGCCATTAATTACTCATTTAGAAAATTAATAAAGACATATTTATCTTCTTTTGAAAATATCATTTTTAAACTTACTTTGATGGGAGAATTCATAATGGGTGGCTAAACTAATTCGCATATTTTCAAATTTGTTATGAAAATAGTTTGAAAATATGACAATTTTGTCTTCTTGTATATCGTTTTTGTGTTATTGATAAAATATACCACTAATAGATATTATGAATATCGATGGCAAAATACACCAGTTTTAATAGATGAGTAGTTATGATGAAAAAAAAAAAGAAAAGGGAAAGTAAAAAGACTTTGAACTAAAAGTAATTTTAAAAATTTACCGGCTTTGATATAAAAATGAATTTACCCTTCTTTGTGGAGAAAGTTTAAGAATAATGTAATTTAAAATTAAATTACAAAAATAATGTATATTTAAAAGTAATAACAAAATAAATGTAGTATAAATAAAAAAATTTACAAAATTAAGTTATACATTCAAACTATTGACAAAAATAGGTTAGGTGCTAGTCAAAGTCAAAAATCGCATACAATGGATGCGATTTAGGTGCCAACATGACATAGATGAGGTGGACCCGAAGAATGAGTCAGCAACGAAATCACTTACATGGTACGCGATTTTCCATTTATAGAAATCGCGTACATTGTACGCAATTTCTATTTATGGAAAGTCGCGTACAATGAACGCGATTTTCATTTAAAATATTTATATATTTATTTATGTAGTTTTTTTTATTTTTTTACGAATAAAATATTTTATTTTATTAGTATTTTATTTATTTTCTATTTTCTATATAGTTTTTATTTATTTTACCTATAAAATACAATTTATTTTATTATAAGTAAAAGTATACATTCTTCTGGAACATATTTTTTCAATAAATCTTAGATCATACTAAACGTTACAATAATTTATATAAAAAGAATCCCATGTATGTAACGGCAACCTACAATTGAAAATAACAAGAAGTTAAAAGAGAAAATGAAATTAAAAAAAGTAAAAAGAGAACATTAAATTTTTAAAATAAGGTTAAAAGAGAAATTGAAGGAAAAAAAGTTAAAAAACGTTGGAGGAGTAAAAATTGAAAATAAAAAGAAGTTAATAGCAAAAATGAAATAAAAAAAAGGTTAAGAGAGAAATTGGAATAAAAATGCTGGAGCATGGAGGGTTAATAAATAATATATATACCATATATGACTCGCACCAAATGCATGCGATTTCCATCCCAACACGTGGCATCTTTAAAGCTGTGTCACACCGAAGTCGCGGTCAATGACTGCGACTTTCACAAAATCGCGGTTATTGACTACGATTTCGGCTTGAAAACAACTATTTCGCTTAAAATCGCAGTCATTAAATGCGATTTACCTGAAATTGCATCTAATGGCTGCGATTTCACTACCTTAAACCTACATTATTTGTGTGATTTGTTTTTTGAAAAACATTATTTAAAAACTATTTTGAAAAAAAGAATCCCACGATTTCACTACCAAATTTTGGGATATGTATAATTAGGGTTTTATTTGTTTTACAATTATTTTGTTTTAAATTATTACATTATAGGAATATGTCCAATCATGTTGTAGGTAATTAAGAACTATTTTCCAAATATGGAGAAAATTAAGATGATAGTATTTTTTTTTTAAATTATGGTTTTTTAAAATAAAATAAAAAAAACAAAGGGATATTGGTGGGAACTTCCAAGACTACAACTTTTAAATTCAAAATACAAAAAAATAAAAAAGTTAAAAAATAAAAAATGAAAGAGGAAGTGGGGGAAGTGGCCCGGGCTGCCACTCCCAAATTTAACAAAAAAAAACAGGGGGAAGTCGCAAACGTTGGCTGCGACTTCCCACTTCAAAATAAAAAAATAATAAAAAAGAACAAATGGTCCGTCAACAAACGTGGTTCCATTTATGCCACGTCAGAGAAAAGTCGCAGCCGTCGCAGCCAATTGCTGCGATTTCGATGTAAATCGCAGCCATCGCCTGCGATTTTGGGCAAATCGCAGTCTATCTCTACGATTTATCTATCATGATTTTGTAATTACTTTGAAATCTATCCTAGATTTCTCATTTGTTTTTAAAAAATAATTATTTAAAAAAAATCCCCTTCTTTGTCGGTTAATATTGTTGGGGAGGGCGAGAAAAAAATCAGGAAAACTTAAAAATGAATTCATTTCCTCCGTGAAATAAAAAAGAGTATGTTGGAGGGCATATGACTTGCCACATGGACAATAGAGATAGATCACCTCATGAGAATTTTTCCCATTTACCTTTGTAGTAACCGACTTATTGAACTCGGCCAAAATATTACCAAATTGATCAACCAAATTGGAGATGACCTTAAAAAGGTTAGACACCAAGGTACCAAGTCCAACTGTTTGTAACTATGAAACAAATTCTTGAAATGGTATGATAGAACAGACATACAGGTCCCACTTCATTTCATATTTAAATAGGAATATCATTTCGTAATAATATATATACTTTCTCTGATTTCTCATCTTGAGGACAATAGATCGAATTCTTACTGATTTGAACGTCAGAATTATGCATGTCTTACCTTGCATATCTCGCTTCGAATAGCTTTGCTATATCCACTTTGTACATGTTAAGACAATATGGAATTCGATATCAATAGTTTGAACATAGTCGCTTCGTATCGTGAACATCCTATCAAATTTTCAATTCAATTAAATTACAATTGATACATATTTGAAATATATATTATAATTTTTCTCTCGTACATCCAAAGGTGCAAAATTACTCGTCACATTATTTCAACCCTACTCCAATCATCTTTCGGAGCGATGACAACATATTTAAGCAAAGGGCCTTTTTTCAGCATATTAAACAGAAAAAGCTGAGGCCCATTTCGGTTTACTTGGGCCTTATTGGGCTTATCAACTCAAGGGGGGAAAACCTAATAAAAACAAGAACAAAAGACATTTTCCAAAACGAAAATTAAAAATAAAAAGAAACGCACAACGGTTTCAAACCCCTGCAATTTTCAGTTTCTTTTTTGACAAACCCTAGTTTCAAAACTCATAAATTTGAAGTTTTGAGGGAGTAAATCTTTGTATCTTAATATAAATAACTTTTAAAACTAAGTGCGGTTTGATAATGTTATTATTATTTTTCCTTTCTTCTTTACTTTTTCTAATTTCTTTGTTTCATATTTTTTAATAAACTAAAACATAACTAGGTTTTGGGAATTATTTTTGATTTCTTGTTTTCCTTTTTATTGGAAAAAGAAATTGAAACATGTTTCTAATTTTCTAAAATTTTAAGTTAAAAAATTTTAATTTTTTATATGAAATTTAGAATTAAATATTCCATTTTCTTATGCTATATTTATTTTTTTTAGTATTTATTATGCATCGTATAAATCAAGAATGATAAAACAATGCTTTAATCTATGTTTTGAAAAAATTTGGAGATAGGAATAAATAAATAATGGCATAACATTATTTTTGTTCGTTTTTAATTTTTAATTTTTTTAAGAAATCTAAACATGAAAACTATTTATGTTTCTATTTTTTATTTCTAAAAAAAAACTATATAGAAAATTTGGAAACAACAAAAATATTTATTGTTTGCTTTTCGTTTCCAATTTGTTCCAACATAAATAAAAACCATATCTTATCATTCTAGCCCTTTCATGGGCTGCTGGGGACTTTTTCTTTATTAAAAAGGAGTAAACAGAAAACAAAAACATCACCAAACGGACCGAAACTTGATTTTGTTATTTCCAAAAGTTCTACACACAATTTTACAAACATTTCTTAAAAAATAGAGAGGAGAAACAGAAACTTTATATATGTTTCAAAAAAATTAGAAACAAGAAACAACAACATTACTAAACAGGCTATCAATTAATCTAAAGAGGCGAAAGAAAAGAAAGTAAAAATACATAGAAATATCCAAGAAGAGAAAGAAGACAAGAGGCTGTGACTTACACAAGGGTTTCTGCAACAAAAAGAAAGAAAGGAAAAAAAGAGAGTTTGAGCACAGTGTGAAAGGCGTGGCGATGAACTTTTGAATGTGTCTGCTCTTTTTAATGTATAGAAATCCTTTTTCACTGTTCCAACAGCACAGCGTTTAATTTTATGATCCAAAAAAGCTTCTTTTTTTTGTTTGTTTGTGCAGCATGCATGGCTTTGGCCCTTCCACATTATACCTTCTCAAGGCATAACAAACAACACTCTCTGTCTCCTGCTTTTTCTCTCACACCTTTGGTCCTTAATATTACTGTTTCATCCTCTGCATCTCAACACACTTTTCCCCC